TTTTTTTTTCTCTGAACCTATTGAAAAACTATTTTCTGCTCGAAAAACTAAAATATTTATGTAACTTGGAAATTGAACTTGTTAGCTTATAGTAACTTAAACTTTTTTTTGTTAATATCACACTTGCATTTCCAGGTTTAAAGTAATTCCTTTTAGGTAATCCTCTAAAGTGTAGGAACAATACTCTGACACAATTCTTTTAATATTCGCGCAAACATCTTATGTTTTTTTATTCGTAGCTGTTTTCTGACCCCCTATTAACTGGCTCAATTTGATTGATGAAAGATTTTCTTCCTTTTTAAAAGCATCAATGAATTTCCATATATTTGCATGAACCGCTGAAATTATAGATGAAAAGGCCCTGTGCCAGCCTTCAACTGAATTATTCGTCCTGGGAAGATCATTTAACGTTGCCTCATACTGATTCCAGTGTTCAAGCTTGATTACTGGAAGTCTTCTCCTGACCATGTCTGTTCGAACGCCTTGAATTATTCGTCCTGGGAAGATCATTTAACGTTGCCTCATACTGATTCCAGTGTTCAAGCTTGATTACTGGAAGTCTTCTCTGACCATGTCTATTCGAACGCCCCACGAAATTATCCTCAAAATAATCTAGTAAGGGACGTAATAGTTCTGCGTTTTCAATAAAAAATATCTACTCCATCAATTCCTGAAATTTAACAATGACATGTCCAACAGGAACAAATTCCAGTGCTAATATTTGACGCAAATTTAAACTGAATTCTGTGAAACTGTAATATTGAATTTTTATAAATTCAACTACCATAAAGCAATCACAATTGATATTTAACCAATGGATTTGACTCACGGAGGCTTGTATCTCCAAGAGTCGTATGTAACAACGTACATTATAGATGTGTATGCAGAAACTCAGAATGGTCCATAGAAGAGGCTGGCACAGATAAAATTGGCTCTTCATAGACATCTGACCGTATTCATTTCCCCGTATGTACATTCCCACGTCTGCCGTTTCACCGTACCCCGTTTCCCCGTATGAATCTTTTCGCGTATTTCGTTTCCTCGGATCCCGTTTACCCTATAACGTTTCCACGTATCTCATATCCCGTTTTCCCACATACCAATGTTCAATATTTCATAATTCGTATGTAATATTGAATTATGAACATTTTCTTGAAACGACGACTTCTCGAAGACTCCATTTAAGCTTCAACAGTGAACAGTCCAGTACTATATGTCGATGAGGATTGGATGATACGCAGTAAAGTGACGCGTCGTAGGAAATTTCATTAATTCGCGAGTAAGTTTTGAAAATTATGGTGTAAATTCACTTTTTAATTGCTTAATCTTAAACTTCGCTAAAACAGTACTCATATTCGAT